AAATTCCTCCTGAAATACCCACCTGGTGTCTTTATCTGGCAAACCACATTGCCCGTCAGAGACAGAGGCAGAAAGGGGAGGATGCAGGAAGACCCAGCTGTCTTTCACCACTGTCACAGTGCCTGTTTTGAGGGATGTTTTTGTGAAGAAAATAGTTGATGCTTCAGATGTGCATCATTGTTTCTAGATTTGGGATGCACCGCATGTTGCACATCATCTGTAAGGGTGAAAATTACCATTCTTTGGGCAAATGACGACTCATAGCCCGTCTCTGATAGGTTTTCCTCCTCACCTCCTGACCGATGCTCCTACCACAACCTCTGCCCTATTAATGGCATCAACAGACACTGTCTAGCACAAGAAAAATCCTATCTATTTAGGTAAGATGCTTTGTTGGCAGATAATATGGTTTGTGATGGTTATCTTGAAATCAAATAATAATCTCTTTTTAATTGTGTTTGGGTAAATAGTGCCTCTTCCTTCACCACAAGGTTTATCCTCCTTGAAATGACTCACACCAAGTGCTGCTCCCCTTACAAATTCAATCCTTCAGATGGGACAAAAGAGAGTGGTTTACAGTGTTGTGGGTGTTCAAGAATGTTTCTAGCTGGTTTATTTTCTCCTCTTTAAACACCAGTCAGGCCAAGACAGTGAGTCGCTCCTACGCGTTATGTCAGCGTGAGAAGCAGGTTGTATTTTATTACTCTAATCCTTTGCAGCTTGTGTTCATACTGGCAACGAAATGACAGCAGGAGTGAGGTGAGAGTAAGTGATAAAGTCTTGGCATTAGACACTTACAATGAATATGTGCTTGTGAAGTTCTGACTCATTAATTCTTTTTCCAGGCTGCTGTATGGCTTAGCAGTGCACTTCGGTAATGTGATGGATTTTAGATTCGACGAATAACCTAGGATACCAAATATTTTATTGTTTCATAGGAAAGGAAGTTTTCATTTGTTTGACATTTCTGGATCCTAAAAAAAAATATATGAAAACTGGGAAGTTTGGAGTTTTCACTGTTTTTTACACCAGAAAGCAATTTTAAGGATGCAAAATGCCTCAAGTCGCATTCCTTGTAGGAAATCTTTCCCCATAGAATGTAAGACAGGTTTCAAAAAAGGACTTCTGAAATTGGAGCACAATTGGAAAATACTCTATTTTTCTTTCCTCAGTCCCTCAGAGATTACTGTAAGGTGCTTCAGATGTTGCGAGACTGTATTGTTATGATACCATAAAGTGTTTTATGAAGTTCAGAGTAAAAATAAATATAGATGCCACATCACAGGTAGACCTCAGATGTGTCTAAGAAGATAGAATTCACACTAATCAATGAAAACATATCCTTTAAGGGGTTTCAAAGCACAGAAATGTCTTTATTCCAAATAAAAAGAAGGAACATTCTTCCTTTTAATTCCCTCCTGTGGACATATTGTAAGAAGCAACTTGTTCCACCAATACCATACCTTGAAATTTAAGATGAACAAACTGCCAGCAATTCATGCGTCTGTGTACACTTGCATCTAAAAAAATGACTATTTTTTTCTTTTATTCTGTTTCTCCAATTTTTTGAATTTGTATTCTGAATACATATAAACATTACTCTTTCTACCTGGCAACCAGTATGTCTAAAAACATTTCTTTCTGGCTTTTTCTTCTTATCTAATCTTCATAGACAGTTTTGATGTTCCATATTTTTTGATGTTTGCCATTTTTCCAGAAGAAATGTGCTTCTTAGATGAAAATCCTCCAGCTTCATGCACAGGAATGAAGATATAGAAGCTGTCTGTATTTGAATTCTAGGAATTTAGGCATGTCAAATTGGTCTGCTGCTGGCTTCATTTTCCTTTTCAAGCTTATGGGTTTGTTTCCTAAATACTACTGTTGTACTTCATTGGCTTCTTACAGTAGTTATTTTCTCAGTCTGATTTTAGCAAATTGTGATGGATATCAAAGTGTTGCCTCTGTAATACACTGGACAACCTCTTGCTTGGAGATTGGAAACCTCCTGAGCTGAGTTTTCTTTCTGTGCTGTAGTTCCACTGCTGCATCATTACTGGTCATCTACCAGCCTGGTGTAAGACAGGAATACAAACTTGTGGATGTTACTCGTTGGGTATAATTTTGTAGCACTCGAAGTGTGAGCCACAGGTGGATCTTAGGTGGATACAAAAAGGGAATATTTATGCATTTATATTCAGGTAATTGTGAAAGAAGCTGATGGATTGACAACCATAAAAAAAGAAAATAATTATGTATTATTTAAGGAAATAAAAAGAGAAATGTATATGTCCATATTAAGGCTTAATAGCTGAAGAGACAAAGATATACCTTAACATTGAGTTAGTGTGGATTCCAGCTGAATGATATTGCCTGAGGCAACAGTATAATCACCTTACTCCCCATACAAAACTGGAGAAGAGCTATAGGCTGCTGTTGGGACTAATTCAGACCTTAAATAACTGTAATTGGCTTCCAAAGAAGGGCAGGCAGCTCTATTTTTTCATGGAGAGCTATTATGACTCTCTACTTGTTTATATGATTCAGTCAGTGAGAGAAATACAAGCTCTTACTGCTGCTGTATCCAGCCTTGCTTGCAGTATTGGCTGTTCTGTCAGGAGCTTTCAAATAGTTTCTTCTCCAAGTGTCTTCATCCCTTTTTTTATCTTCTATATTCCACTTCTTCTTGACCCATCTAGAGTCACAGAGCTGTAATATTATTCAAGCTGAGAAGGACCTCAGGGGGACTTTAGTCGTACTTCTTGCTCAAATCAGTGTAAACTATAAAGTCAAATATGTTGCCCTGGACTTTATCTGTTCAGGTCTTGAAACCCTCTAAGGATACAGATTACACAGTGTGTCTGGGCAGCCACTCCTGCTGCTTGGCTGAAAGTCAGAGCTATACCTGATTTGGTTTAGTACCATTTTATCTTTTATTTATTTCTTCATTTATTTTCTTTATCACCCTGCAACTCCATAAAGGTCTTGTCTCCTTCATTTTGAAATCTCCTTTCAAGTATTGGAAAGGTACTTTTAGACCTTCCTTTTTTTAAATCTGACAAAGCCCAGTTCCTCCAGCCTCTCCTTATAGGGTGCATTCTCCAGCCCTCGTGATCTTGGTGGACTCCCACTTGACTCAAAGTTTGTTGATATCCCTTTTTTGTACTGCAGTGGACATGTTAATCAAATCTGTAGTTTGTAGTTGGACATTGTAGTTTAGATATGCTCTAAAAATTGCTGGGTAAAAGGAAATAATATTAGCTCCTTGTGATCTTCAAAAATATTATGATTCAGAATCCAGGAAACACATGAAAAAAAATCTGGAACCTATTTAGTGTATGCTAAATCAGAAGAGAATGCTCTCTCATCTGTGTCAGAGCTCCCTGGCAAGCCCTGTCGCCCTTGTCTGAGAAAGTCTTTCTCTAGAAAAGTCAGCACATTTCTTCCTTGTTTTTCTCTCATTCCATTAAGATACATAATACATGCAAAAATAAATTTTTTTTGAGTTGGCAATAAGTTGCAATGTGAAGAACAAAGGAAAGCTTAATAAAATTAAAAGGCAGATGAACTGAAACAGTAAAGAAAATGTCAATGACTGACAACTACAAAGTATTAATTCAAAATTTCTGATTCCAGGGACAACAGTTTCTGTCAGCTTGAAATGACTGAATAACAACAACAGATAAACTTTATATATTTAGGACAAAGTTCAGATGGGGATTTACAGACATCACAGGCACAAGGAACAAAGCAACCCTCTTCCTTCTGTTAGAGAGATTTCTTGTAGGCTTGCAACTGGGAAAAGTCTAAACAGCATTGTGGAGTTTTACATCAGGCTGCAGAGCTCATTGCCAGAGTGGGTGTCTTGTATTTTAGGTAATGGCTCTGGCTGGAGGGACAAGAATCAGTTTGCTAACACGGGGATGGCAATAAATATTTGCTATCAAATAAACCCTGTAGGGTTATGTGCTCTCAGTTAAGTACTGTCCAGATCCTCTTTCTTGTTCCTTTCACATATTGGCTGGCTTTGGGTTAGCCTAAATATGTCCCACTGCTTCTACTGTATCTCTTATGTGAGTCAATGTCTTCAGGTGAGCAAAGGGAGAAGGAGGGAATTTTTTGGGATGCTGATGAAGAATGGGTAAATAAATAAGCTTTCTCACATTGAAAATAATAATGTCTCTATTTGTCAGCAAGAACAGATGTCAGGATTCAAATTTCTTTCTGTGTGATCATGCTTGACTGCTGGTAGGGTGCTGCAGTGGTGTTTTTAAAAGTCAAGACAAGATAAATCTGTGCTAGCTATTACTGAAAGCCAAATTACAGACAATAGGAACAAATGAGCACTTCTAAGAGGATGAATATTAATCTGGGCATTATCCGAAGGGGTTGTGGTGTCTCTCTCCTTTGAGTTATTAAAAAATCACTTGGACAAGGTCCTCACCTAGTAGCTTAAGGTTTCTCTGCTTGATTGATGGGAGTTGGACAAGATGACCTCCACAAATACCTTCTGCCTCAACTGTTCTAGGAACCTGTTATCCTTTGCTATTTTTCCAGTAATAAACTTTTGAGGAAATCTCTATCCTTCACAGTAGCTCTGATAAAGCTGCTAAGAAAGATATCACATAATTGGAATCAACTGTTTCAACATGTAATCAGAAACTGTTCTGAAGAAGAAAAGTAGGCTGCACCATCAAGGTAAAAATGATACCTGTTTTCAGCTTCAGAACAAGTGAGTGAACCTTAAGGCTGCCTTTTAATGTCAATATAAGTAGTGGAACTGCAGCTACAAATGGGACATATTTGTTAAGGAAAGTGCAGTGGTTTTTTGGTTGCATCATTATATTACACGGAAAAAGACAGCTCTTTTATGATGGTAGGACTTTGAGAACAAAGTGGTTATCTGCAGAATATCAGGTGAGTCTTGACCACAAAACTAAATTGCTGGAAAGAAGTTATTTAACTTTTTAAGTTTATCTTTCTTTTTTTTTTTTTTTAAACAGTTGAAGCTCTGCATTTGGGAACTCTGATGGCAGCACATGGCTATTTCTTTCCAATCTCAGACCATGTTCTAACATTGAAGGATGATGGCACCTTTTATCGATTCCAGGTAAGTATTTTCAGTATGTTCTTGACTTGCACAAATGGAGGCTCAAAGGCATTACAGAAAATTCATAGCAAATTTAACCATACTTTGTTTCTTATATAACCTGGTAAAGAGTAGAAATTCCCCTAAAAATAAAAAAAAAAAAATGGTAGAAGGATTTTATTTATAGATTTTCAGCAAAATGTTGATATGATAATGACTATTTTGATATCTGGAATAAAAGTGTGATAATGCTGAATGTGGAACTATCTCTCATGAAATAAATTAATGTAGTATTTTTGAAATACAGTAAACTATATTATGTTATTGCCTCTTATTCCTACTATAGTATGAATTTAGAAAGGGGGAGGTATTTTAAATATCAAGTCTGTAGCAGAAATCTGATAAATAATGGAGGTAATATTTATTTTTCTTCTTTTGTGAGAATTTCCTTACTGGTAACTCAGTAGTATCAGAGTAGTGTGTATTCTTCTAGCAACTACACAGACATTTTTATATTGATCTGTCAGTCCCATTGCATACAACAAACAGGCAAATCGTTCAGAAAAGCTGAAAGCATAAATATGTACATATGTTTATACCTACACTCGCACATATATGTTGTTCAGAAACCTCCATAGTTGTATTTCATGATATTAAATTTCAAACTAAGGCCTTGGGAGCAGAAGTGTTGTTTTTATAATAATGACTAGTGGGCTAGAATTTTGCTAGAACAATATTGCTGATAACTTGAAACAAATATGACTGCAAAGTACCAGATTATGGATTCAATGGAAAGAATTCACTTTTCTTGTCCTGTGCCACTTTTGACAATGGTGGCTGTGTTCTGTATGGCTCTATTAGATGGTACTCCTGGTAAGTATCCCCAACAGCTGCTCCAAGCTCTTGTTTAGCTATTTATTGCTTTGAAATTATATGATGACTATCACTATGAAATTGAGTTTGCTAATTCTTCTTTGTTACTTCTAACTGTATTAAATACTCAGTAAAATAACATCTAGTAGAACAAAATCTATTGTCTTCAAGATATGAAGGTCTAAACTTTGTCTTAAAGATTGTTTAAATAAGAAGCTGTCAAGAATAAAATAGGACTGAAATTTTGACCTTTCAAATGCAGAAGAAAACTAGTGATTGCAAATCAGTCATAATTTCAAACATTGCATTATATTAATCTCTGTACAAGACTTTCACCAATATTTTGGCTTAAGTGTCATAGGCCTATGTAAAGGAAGAGAAAGAATTGTAATATTTGTATAAGTCAAAATCTTAGCGTGAAGAGGATTAAATATGCACAGCATATTCTGGCAATTAAGAGAATTATTTAATGCATGCAAACAATATTATCGTATTTTCATATTTAGATCTTGTGTGTCAGACTGCAAAAAAGTTGTTCTTCAGCAGAACAGAAAGTTAGATGTGTACATGGGTAATACTAAGAGCAAGTATTCCAAGCCTCGTCCCCTAAATCCACAGTTACTTTTGATCCTGGAGAGAGTATTTGAAGGAAAAGTGGTTTTTTAAGCTCATGAAGCTTCATTCTCCTCAGTGCTCAATATAAAGAAGGCAGATGGCACATGGTTGAAGGGGCTTGCTGATGTGCTTATAATGTAAGTGGAAAGGAATCATAGAGTGGTTGAGGCTCCAGTTCTTGGTTTGGTGTCTGAATAAGCAGTGTCCAGAAGAACAAAATATGCAAGGACTTAATTTTGCAGAGAATAGTAGTAACTTACAGGAGTGCTAGTCATTGAATTCTGCACAGCTGCCTCCATCTCTAGCACGAGAAATAAGCACCTCTGCTGGCGTGATAGTCTGACTGAAGGAAAGTACGGACTGGAATTAGACTCACCATGGACCACTGAGAGTACTGCAGCTACCCTGCTGTGAGCTTTCCTCAGAGAGGTCCACAGCCTACGTCTGGACACAAATCTTCAGTGAGGGCTAGATTGTATTACCTTCTCCGTGTATTTACATAAGTTAAGAATTTGGCACCTATTTGACAAATGCATATGAATTAAGACACTTTAATCAAGTATTATCTGCAATGTTTGGCTTGTTTGCTTTTCTGTGGTACCTTTTGCAGTGCTATTCCCATGCCAACAATGTGACTTTGCTGTTGTGACAATGCAACTTTAGCTGTTAATGTACAGGATGAGAAAAAATTCATAGTGGTGACATACTGTTAACTGGATTTATAACAGCAAAATTTGTGTGCTTACATCTCCATGTTCCCCACCAAAATAAGGCTGGTATAAAATCTGTTACTGAACTGCTAAATTAGAAGGTGAAGAGAACATATTCAACGGGGAGGAAAGTTTAACTGCAAATGTGTGAATTTTGCATTAGAATAGACGTTCAGGTTCTTTGCGCATAGTACCCTCTTAGTACTGGACAGGATTTACACGTTTCTGGATATTTTGATAGAAGGAGAAAACCATGCACCTGCCAGCACTGAACAGCTCAAAAGCTGCACCTGCAGAGAAATGTTGGCAATACAAAGACCTAGCCTACAAAAAAAAAGGCTAGCTATAGTAATGTTCTCCATGTGCTTGATGTTTTGTTCTCCAAAGGGTGACACATTCCCTCCTGACAGTAAAATTATCCCTAGCTTGTTTTAAACCACCTCCTGTTGTATAGAAATAGCTAAAAGCTGTGGAGATTGAGCTTCATTTGGACAAATGCCCTTTTATGGGCAAAAATTATCCTTTTCCAGTTATTACTCTTTCCATCAGGAGGCAGGAATATAGTTACATCTTCTTTTTTAAATAACGTGAAATAAAAAAAATATTCTGGATCATTCAGTGACCTACTCAGGTGTTAATTAGGTTCATTTCTATGATATCAATTTAATTCAAAGGAGATGAATATAAATATTAATTGCCTTATTAACGGAGGAATTTTTTTATTAGACTCAGTAAGAAAAAGCAGAAACAGCTGCATTGCCTTTTCATGGTAATTTAAACCTCTGACTAAAAAAGGCGCTCACCATCTTTCTCTACCTGAGAGCAAATAAATATGAGGGGCTCAAATAAGAAAAGCAAGCTGCATCTTGGAAAACATATCTTCACTGGCCAGGGATTACTCATGGAGTCGTTTCATTTATGTTCACACATATGATAATATGTCCATCTTGGTGAGGAATGCCTGATTTGCCCTCTCAGCGGGTAAGTTTCTGTAATATCATCCCACAGAAAAATATGCTAATTTCTTCTACAAGCCCTGATCTCCTGATGTTAATTGAGAAAAATAACATTTCGCAGTATCTTTTGGCTGTAAACAAACTCCCGGGATACCCTGGATTAATGATAGTCACACTCTTATTTTAAAATGAGATTAATTCATGATTTAACATTAATTAATTTTCTGAGATGAGGGTTAGGTTGTGCTGTTGTTTTGTACCTTTTAAGATGAAAGGCACAAATATCTGAGGAAAAATATGAAAACAGGAACAGTTTCTTGTGAAAGCAAAAGTGAAGATAGCAGCAAAATTCATGGACTTTGGGAAGACGAAGGAGTGGACTTTGATATTTTCTCCTGTTCTGCCACTGGGAACACTTTCTTGACAGATATGTTTAACCATTCTGGCCTTGTCTTTCCATGCCTAAATTAGGGATAAAATTATATAGCAATGACTGTAAGGACCTTGAAATATCTTTGTTGCAAAATAGTTTAGAGTGTGAAGTGTTCTGGACACCTCATGTCTCAGGTGGAATTCTATTGCTTTACACGTCACTTTTGAGTCAGCCTTACTGAGCTAGCTTCTTCTTGGCTCGCTCTGGACCAACCTCTGGCCATTCCAAATTCTGAGTCTGTGGCTGAACATTACAGCTCTACAGCCACTCTCCAGAGCCTTTCTGGATCATCTACTGTGCCTTGAGGGAAGGATTTTATTTTAGAAAGGAAAAAGAAACAAGTTATATTATGCAGCATTTGGCAGATTATTTTTTGGCAATTGTAGGTGTGATGACTATTTCATCGTCTTTTCAGGTCAGGCTTGGTATATACAGGTTCTATTAAGGTTTCTGAGGGAAAAAGATTTTAAATTCATGTGTCTTTCTGACTGCCCCATCAGTGCCACTTTTGATTTTTTAAACTCCTTACTCAGGTACACTTTGCCCCACACTGCTTGCCATGCTTGTCCTCTTTTCAGTTAGAAAAGAGGAGTCACAGAGCCAAAATCTTGTTTCCAAATTCCTCAACCTCTTTTTTAATTATTCTGAGTTAACCATGGAGCACTACTTGCTTCCTGTATGGGCTTGACAGTGCTAGACTAGCAACCTTACCCTTTTACTTCACCAAGAAATCATTTTTGTGAAGTGCAACGAATGTGAAACAAAATGCCAGTGAAATCTGCCATCCATCATGCAAAGCATTTGAAATTGTGCATAGCCACTTTTCAGCAAAGGCTTAATTTCTGCTGTTTATAAACACTCCCTGGCGCCTGGGAGAATAGCAGTAATATGCAAAGGTTTATAAGTGATTTGAATACTTCTCCCCCATCCAAGTAATTGGATTTTAAAAAATTTTGTGGAGTGGAACAGAGCAGCTTCAGAGACAACAACTCTTTTCTTATTACTATCAACTAAGGGTAGGTGAAAGATGCTTTGTGATTTCCCTCTTTGGTTATACAGTTTAATGCATAGAAATTAATGCTGTTTTATAAAAGCTTATGGGTAACACTGATTTTTACACATGGCTGTTTCATTAGCTCAGATATTGTTATTGATTAATTTTGAGGTAAAACCAAAGCAGATTTATTTAGTTTATCACTGGATTCCTTACAATGCGTAGCAGCCACTGCTGCTAGATTTTTATTGTGGAATATGTGCTATATTACAGGATTTTGTTTCATGTGACTTTCATTCAGGAGAATTATGGATTAATGTGGTTAGGTTTACCTAATGATATTAGTGTATCACTCAAGCAAACCTGTATGTGTTGGTGTGCGCAAAACTAGTTTTCTGGTCAAAGGGCATGAAGGTCCTTGTAACTGTTTTGTTCTGGAGGTTTAAATGTATCTGCAATCATATCTGCAGTGCTAGGTAAGCCTTATTTCTTTAGCTCCTGACTTGTTCTGGCTGCTGATTCAAGTTACACCTACAATCAAACAAAATGCCTCAAAAGCATACTGATAAAAACTGGCAGCATTATTTCTGCCTGGGCTGATAAACAGTACTTGACTTTCCCATAGCCGTACCACCCACCTTCCTTCAGCTGTAAGTGGGATGTCATGGCAAAATGACAAATGTTCCCTCTTTAATACTTCATGATGAACTGCTTCATATTTGCTTCTGAGGAAAAGTAAAATTCTTAAGGATGATAATTCCTTCAGGTTTTCTACTCTCATGAAAAATGACCAAACCACATCAGTATTTCATTATCTTCTCCTTGAAAATGGTGGTGTTATGTAATGTACATGTTAATAAATGTACATGTTAGACCATATCCATAGCTCTCCTGGGTGAAACCTTCACTTATGAGCTTCTAGATAATGAAATCAGGCACACAGGTTGTGTAATATTCATTCTATAGGAATATGTGACATTGCAAGGGATGCTATAATTTTTCTACAGTGTATTTTGATATGTGATTTGTAGCAAATAGTTGAACCAAGCTTTGTTTGCATAGTTCAACAATTTAGAAGGTAATTTATATGAGCAGAGCCTCCCTGCATTGCTGTGGGATATTTTTAATAGCTCAGATTAGAACAGGCAGTTTTCTCCTTTGCACGTGCCTCCTATTCTCATTCCTGACCTCATTCCATTAGACCAGGGATCTTCTTATCAGACTCTTCTTTTTTCCTAATCCTTCTGTGCTGAACAAGGCAAATATTTTTCCTGAAATCTTCATGGATAACCTCTCTAGCAAATTCTTCTCAGAGACTGTTAAATATCTGGAGCATGAAATTGTGTGGAGATTTCTAAAACAGAAATGGAAATGTAAACTCAGCACATGCATTATAGTCATGTGTTATGCGATTAAACTGTTTGATGTCTGTAACAAGGAACAAGGTAAACTTCAGATTAAGACCAGAATTTCATGACTGCTAAAACCAAGCAATTAGACAAGAAAATGTGGAATATTCCTTTGGAAAAAACATCAGTCATTTTAACTACATGCCTGTTTATTGTTGGTGCTTTTTGTCCATACAATCACAGCATTGCAAAAGTCCATTAATCAAAAATCGATTTTTATATCAGGCTTTGTTTTCAGTGTTTATAATTTTCAAAGATATTTTTTTTCTTGGTGTTTTTGGACTTTCTTTCTGTTTAAATCATAATCTGTACTTTTCCTATATTTTGTCTGTCTTTAGGAGAGTTTTCCCTATCTCTGTACACATCAATGCCATTTCCTGCTTTGAAAATGTATAATAGATATCTACTCTTTCAATAGAACTTTATCAGCAGCTGTAGCTGAATTTGAGCACATATCTTAGGGTGATATCATAAGCTGGTAAGAAAGTAATGTAGAACTTTGCCTTGGTCAAAATACATACCATCTAATGTTTATTTCTCCACTAGTTGGGGTTTTACACTGTCAGTGACTTAATTTTTGAAAAATCCAAATATTAGTAACCTTTAGCTTTCAAAGATCGGAAACATATAATGTATTACAACTTTTCAATCTAGAGTAGATGTAGAAACATTATAAAAGAGAAATTTTAAACTTTTTACCTTTTCTGGAAATACATTTCTTCCCTTTGCTGTAATCTTCTGAAACTCCTCTGCTTTATACATTTTTTTTTTAAATAACTGTCCATGTTTCAAAGGTTACTTGAATGAATATTTTTTTAATGTATAAATTACCCTTTGAGTAATTGCACCCCTTTAAACATCATGCAGATAATTTAGTCCTTTTGATAACTCTCACCAGTTGGATAGTAATTGTTACAAAGTACTGGAGATAGAGGAGAAAGAGAAATACCAGAGGAAGAGTTTAATCATAATATTTACACATGCATATATATCACAGTTCTGAGGAACCAGGAGTCATTCTTTAGCTTTGTGAGGCTTTTTTTTTTGCTTTTTTGGAAATAAACACAGTTTACTGATATGAAAACACAAGAAATCCTTAAGCTTTCTGTGCTGAATTTCATCAGCCTTCTAACCTGAACTGACCTCATAAAAACATTTCCCTCCCTGAATTTTTTTTGCCCTGTAGCCTTATCTCCATGTCCAAATTAATTTTGGGCATGTTCTCAGAGCTGATTGCAGGCAGAATTGAACTTTGTTCCCTCTGGGAGCCAGCTGGCTGGAGGCCAGCTCTGGCCAGGCTGCAGTGCCTGAGCCAACGAGCTGCACTTCTCAGCAAGTCCCATTAAATGCATCCCAGCACCAGGCAGGCAGGGTCATGGCTTGCAGTTCAGAGACAGCTTGTGCCTGCCCAACTCAGAGCTTTGGCAAGGAGACCTCGTGCCTCTGTGAAAGACCTTTGTCTGCCCACCATCTCCCTCCTTCTTTAGACTCAAACAAGGAAGGCATTTAATGATCTTCTGTACTTATCTATACTAGCTGTTATTTGAACCCCTTTCTCATCTTGTAATGTCTGCCTTTTACTGGGGTTTCTCTTTGGCTTACACTATCACACATCTTTGAAACCTTTTAATATGGCTTATCATGTGCTTTGCTAATTAAAACTCATGTTCTGTTTTAACTTCTCTGCTTTTATCTCCCTAGCACAGGGAGGCTTACACTCATCCTTAGTAGCCAGTGCTACTTATTATTTTCTGCTTTTTCCTCAATCTCTTCTCCACATTTAGGTTGCACCATTTTATCCTTCAGAAAAGCCTTAAAGCCTTGATCATCTCTGTCTCCTAGCAAGCTAAAATGACAACATTTCACAACACTGAAGAGCATGTGCCCTTTCCCATACTGTTTAATGCCCACACTGTCTTCACCACCCAAAGTGCAAGTTTCAGTAAAATTTAAATGTGCTATTTCAAATAAATACTGAAAAAAGTACTCTGGCCACACATAGCTTTTCATTTATGTATGAAACAACAGAGTCTTCTTCTAACATCACTAACATAGTTGTGAATATATAGTATTTGTTCATAGCCTGTTGTGAAATGAATGCTGAAAGCAAAGTTTGTGATTTTTCCCTAAGTCAGAAGATGGAATTTGTTTTTCATCTCAGCTGGGATGGGAGTATATGTAATTTGTCAAGAGAAATCCTAAGTATGCATGAGGAGCTTTAATAGAGACTTTGCAGCAAGCGTGCCCACACTGGAAGAGTTTCAGCTGGAGAGCTGCTTGAGCAGATATAGTTTCTGTATGTATGTTCTGTATGTTTGTCACTATGTACTTTATTCAGAAGCTCAGCTTGAACCTGTAAACAGAGGTTAACTTTCCTTTTAGCAGAGAAATGATGTGGCTGTGATTTTCTCCTTGGGCCTCTCTGGATATACATTTTGTGCCCCAAGGAAGGACTGTTCTCACTTTCTGAGTTTGTAAACTGTATATTTCAATGATGGTGACTTTTTGCTTTATATGGATCACTATTAAATTTTATAATTGCTTCTCCAAAATGTGCTGAGTACAATTAATTCTTTAGGCATTCATCTTCTTTCTATTTGTACTTATATGTGCTTCTACCGGTCACTTTGATTTCAGTGGCACTGTGAAGGAATGGTTGATTGGAAAGTTACTTATTGTTGCTCCCTTAAAAATATACCAAATGGCTTGCAAGAAGCACATACTAGCTTTTGAAGTTAGCTTGTGATAATTACTTTTTTATCCTTCAGCTCCTTGCTGTTGCTTGATTAATAGCAAGTTCTAAATTGCTTCTATTAAATTTGATGTGTCAGTGTTACAAAACCTAGAGATTTCTCACGATATATATTTAATTTGACAATTGGTGTGAATGTGTCACCCTTCAGCCCTGTTGGTTCCCAGATTAACATTGAAACAATTTTGAAGGGAAGTGGGCAGCAAAGAGGTTTCCATTTTTGCAGCTGGGAGATTTTTGAGCAAAAAACCCAAAAAGAAATAGAGAGTAAAGCAGAAGGTTTTCCTGAAGAACCACCTGTGTTTTGAAATACCACTCAAACCACTTCACACATTTAATGAGTTGCATTCAACTGCTCAAATATTATGTAATTCCCTGTAGCTGTGTGTATGTGTTTATGTATAGATCAGTCACTCAATCACAGAATATTTTGCATTGGAAGGGACCCAGAGGGATCATTGAGTCTGACTCTTAAGTGAATGGCCTGTATGGGGATTATGTGCTCTATAAAAAATGCTATAATAATATGCATTTTTACCAAAAGTTGCTATTTTAAAAATGAAGTAATTTATGAAAATGTCTATGCATTCTTATTTTCTCCATTTGTTAGAAGTGAATTCTTTTAACAATAAATGTAGCAAGTCTCAATAAGTATAGTGTTGAAGTATTTTTTGGTACTTTATTGTCTTTTTCTTAGGAAAAGAACCCCACTTTTTAAATCAAAACCAGGAAATAATTATTAAAAAGTGGATTTTGATGTCTTTGTGAAAACAAGATGTTTCTAGTGGCATTTTTAAACACATAGCACCTAGGAAAAAGAATTGAATATTAATCTATGAATGAAAACTCTCAAAAATCAAGAACTGAATGAACTTCAAAGCATCTTATACCTCTAAACCTGATTCTTCAGGACATGTGAGAGATGTATTTCTAGGGAAGATGTAAAAGATAAGCCCTTTTCCTAGCCTTGTGGGTTTTGTTCCCTTAACTTTGAGAACAAAAACCCACTTTTTTTTCTTTTTCAATGTAATTCTAACACTAGCGTGATAAACAGGTGTACAAATGTAATTTTCTGTTTTAATGCCTATCTAAAAACTGTCAAGTTAACAATATAATAGATCTACCAAAAATATAAATTGATTCTCAAAGCCAGTAACAATCCAAGGACTGTATAATGCTTGCGTTGTCTAACTTGAGTTTCCTGCTTCTTTTTTTTTGCCTATAGACACCCTATTTTTGGCCATCAAATTGTTGGGAGCCGGAAAACACAGACTATGGTCAGTGTAGAAATATTTCCTATTTCTTTTAGAAATTATGCATTTTATTAATGAAATGTGTCATTGCAATCTGTCTTGTTTCACCATCCCACTCTTTAAAACATAATTATATGTCATATAATTCCTGTGCAAGAGCTACTGATATTGAAATGAATGTGTTGCTACCTTTTTCAAAGTTTATCAGAAGCTTATCAAAGTCAAATTTTGGAGTGGATCTGAGGAAAAAAGAAAAAAAAACCAAGCCCCAAAATTCAAGACTCACCGAAACCTACCTTAGTATTTATATTCTCTGTTTGCTCCAGCAAGTGTAATTATTTACAGTGAGAGAATCTCAGTGAAGCAGTGGAGACTTTATAGATGGTTGTGCAATGGTTATTATCAGATTGAGACCCAGAGATGTGCCTAGTTTAGAACTCTTATTTCTAATATACACCATGTGGAAAATTACTTATTATGAAAACTAGTATAGTTCTAATATGAACTGTATTAGAAAATACAGTTTATTGTTTATTTGCCTATATTTTGTAATTACTGATGTGTGCTTCGACTGCAGGTAGCAATGTATTAGGAAAAAATATTATTAAAAATGATAACAAAATTAGTTCCTCTGTACATAAAATAGTGACCTAAGTTTTAAAGAAAGTGTATCTATGAGCAGCCTCCTGTTTGTTCTAATCCAAACTGTAAGTAAAGAGATTATGTGAAGACTAGGTCACTTATTTAGGTAATTGAGCATGTACATGCTAGGTTATGTTTTCAAAACTTCAGACCATGAATATCTCTTTTTACAGCTTTTCAAAAATTTAAGTGAGTGTTCACTTGTAATTTGGATTCTATACCCTTGGGAGCCAAAGACTTTGGAGGTGGATGGTTCTAATAAATGCTTCTTCGTTTTTGGAGCAGACTCAGTTTAATTTCAAATACATTGCCAAATAAAGTAATTTTAAGATGAAACTCTCAGCAGAGCTGAGTGTCTCCGAGGTACAGTTGAAAAATGTGACACTTTCCTCATCCTATAGGAGTAGAAAAATGTTCAATTTTTTACTGAAATTTGAAGATGTCCAGTAAATAGTTATTGAAAGCTCTCAAGGAAGAGGGATTCTTACCACATGTGTGTGCTTGGCCGTTCTGTATGATGAAATTAGTCACTGAAGGAAAAATGATTGATTTACCATTTATTACTTCATTAAAGTCCCCTAATATGTTAAAGATCAGCAAGTAATTAGCTATGGTTTAGAAGACATTGAGTTGTTAAGCTGTAATGTGTATCATGTTACTGAGGTGGTTTTAATAAATAATTACATGCTTAACATGTCTGAATTTAAGATCAGGCTGAGAAAGTTTATATTAATATCCTTTAGTCTAAAGTAGGACATACTAACTTTCCTGTCACAACTGGTCAGTGGATTGGTCGATGAATTATAAACCTTAGTCATTAAATAAAAATCTTGTATAATACGTCCAGGTTTGCATGCCAGGAATACAGAATTAAACTTGGAATCAGTGCCTTCATAATACAGGGAGGAGCTTTTGTTGAACGGTGAATGTACTCATTTGAGATCTTTTGAGATTTAAATATGTCCCAGTTGTTGAGGTAAGCTCTTTGGTTGCAGAGGGGAAAAGGAAGGGGAAGCAAACCCTCTAATCCTGCTGTCTCATTGCTCCTTCCCTGTCATGAGCCAGAAGTGCAATCCTGTATGAAACAGACCCGCAGCTTCCCCGTGCAACAGGGCCAGAGCATTGTACTGGAGCTGCCAAAGGTTTTGTGTGTCACCAAAACTGGATAATGCTGGAGCATTTGCAGGAAAATAAACTTTTAAGGCACCTTTTCAATACTGTTCTTATGAGGTCAGCATCATCCAAGTCCCAGAAATTAGCATTCCCTTGTAAACAATGGTGATCAGAGGAATACAGGAAAATCAAAATATTTAATCAAAATATTTAAAGAACCTAAATAAATCTAAAATAGATTTGCATGTTCTGCAGATTTTCACAGGAATTGTTACTTCCTGGAAAATATAGTACATAGAATTTATCTTATTGCAGATATGCAAATGAATTTCGTACTTATCATGCATTATGATGTGCTGTGTAGTACTACCAATTTATTGGACTTGTCCTGAACAAGCTTAAAACTGTGCCCTCTAAAATTATTGACTCTAGCAGGCATTAGAAGTCTCTCAAGACCAGCAGAAAGCAAACTCTCTCTGTAATCTTCCTTGATCAAAGTTACTAACAGGGCAAATAACTTTCTTTGCCATTAATCTAATTTAACAAGCCATTGGAAATACTCTAGAATTTTATTTTAATTTAAAAATTAATCCAAACAATTCATCTTTACTCATCCATAACTGGGCTACTGTCCAGAATCTAGCACACTGCCAGGAAAATAATTTATCTTAAATAAAAAATTAAATGAGATTAAGATACTGTGTGTTAGTTTATTACCAGAACTAAGAAACAAATAATCCTTACGTATTTGTATAACATGTTAATATCTTCTCTAAAATATAATTTGATCTATATCAGCTTATAATAGCAATTATTTGCCTTGAAAAAATATTTTTCTGTAGAAAGAACAACTGAAAAAGACATACAAATAGAATCTTCCAATATGTCAGAAAACCACGGACACGTTCCTATAATAAAGCTGTAGTGCGCTGCTATGTTGTAGTGGCAAGAAGAGGGCTTGCATTAAGTTATGTCAAAATGGAAAATAACCTTTTGATTGTAATCTCAAAAATATTGACTATGATCATTCTGAGGTTACTGAGAAACTGCCAATTTTCATAAAGTGCTGAAAAGCTCCCTCCTTTTTCCTGAAAATCATGCTTTAAGTTTTGTCAAGAGAGATTCCTCAAATTGCAAATAATTTTTACAAAGGCAGGTCCTTAAGTCCCATCTGTTGAAGACCCATTTTAATGCCATATGTCTTGGAGTCCACCCAGGTGGGACATGTTGTTCTTTGTAGAATCCCATTGGTTTTAGAGTAATTTTGTTGGTGAAAATAAATGGTAATTATAACAACTACTATTATTAAGACTAGTGTAGTTCAGATAACTTTGCTTTTTCCTGTGAATTAAGTCATGTTCCTGAATAATGATTAGGTTTTGTGTCAAATAGAATTGGATCTCAATTCAGAAAAACTGGCTCTTGTAATGAACACAGCTAGTGGCTGAGCATGTGACCTGCTTGTAATTATCTTCTCTTTTCTTACAGAAATAATTTTGTAACTGATGGATTCTTTTTTTCCTGGCATAAAATAAACAGGTCATGTCATTAAGAAGTAGTTAAATAGGGAGGCTAGTTAAGACAATTGCATCCCAGAAAGTGGAAATATAATGCCATATATTAAATTGTTATTCCATGTGCATGTGGTCTCAGTTCTAATGGAACCCGTCAGGTTCTCTTGGAGGTTTAGTGACTCACAGCTGTTGCAAATTTGAGGCATTTAGTTCATTACTGTCCTCTTTTTTGAATAAGTAGAAAATATGAAATATTCGGGAAAAATTCCATTCACAGCAAAATAGCAATTATTTGCCCTTTTTTTCTATTCTTTAGGCTTAATTTAACATATTTCTGAAAATGTAAGAGGCTTATAAGAATTTCAGACATAATATAAGAAGAATTAGTAACTTCTACTCATTTTCCCTAGTGAACTTTTGCTGATAGTTAGACTCAAAATTATCTTTGACATATCAGACTTTTTTCTTTCAGTTAAATGCATATAAAAAAAATAAATATGCATTAAATGCATATTAAAAATTGAAATCTGCTCAAATGAGACAGAATAAAATTTAGAAAGTGACACAGTCACTTATAGTATTAAGGAGGTTTGGACATACTAGAAGACAAAAAGTCAACTGCTTCTATATAGTTGCAACAGGATGTTGTTTGAGCAACAAATGAGTTGTTTGAACATCAAATGAGTTAAAAATAAAGGAGGTCTGCTGAATGTTCGTAAGTTCTAGAGAACACAGTAAATAACTGATAATGCAACATGAGTTTAAGAGCACTTGACCATGTGATCTTTAAATGATGCTAAGTGAGACTGTTTTTCTCTATATTCAAAGCAAATTCTTAAATTTTGTTGCTGTGAATAACAAGTTTTGAAAATGTAACATATTTTCAGTAGCCTTCCAGGTAAAGTCATGTATTACAAAAGAAATCACCTTGGAAATTAGAGCAATCATGGGGGTTGGGGTAAGTTTTAATTAATTGCTCCCTTTAAAAGTGTGAGATACTTCTCTGGATAAATGCTGCAGCTCTTTAGATAGTCATCACTTCGTTATCTATCCTGTGTTACAGTAAAATGAGGAAGCCATTTACTTTTGCTGTGTTGAAGCTGTTTCATTGTTTTCTCCAGCATTTTTAAGAGAGTACAAGACTTGCCTTATTAAATTTACTTGATAATCAGCTCACAAGTCAGTCTGAACAACACTTCCTTCCTAATGATATTTTCTTATCACTTAAAAGGAAACTGACAGAGGCCTCTCCATGTTTTGTGTCTGCTGCTCTGTTCTGAACATGAGCCATTTCACCTGGCTCATTTCTCTCTTCTATCCCAAACCCACATTAATGCTAAAAAGTACAGACTACACAAAAAGTAACTGCAATCATGTATCATGTTTTTCACATGTTGAAAATTTTCATATAATTTTCTCTTTAGAGTCTCTTGCCTACTTATTTTACATGCTTAGCTTCAAATTCCTCTATGAACATTTGAGTAGTCCAGGAATTTTCTCTCCCATTTGTCTTTCTGTACCCTTTACCTTTGAGTGACTGTTTGGAAGAAGAATTGTGTGGAGAATGTATGATATATTTTCTTTGCTGAAATGCACAGGAAGGATTTCCTTGGCAACAGCATGTTAGTAAGCAATTTGTATTTGAGAAATACTGATCCCTATTGCTTACCTGAACTCTGCTGGAGCACTGCATGTTGTCAGCATCTCTGGAAATTAACCCATAACTATGAGTCAATAGCTTGGGGCAAAACTGGT